GCGCGGTGGCGGTGGCCGGGCTCCACTTGCCAGCGGCGGGAAGGACGCGCGGGAAAACGAGGGAGCAGGAAGCGGGTGGCGGCGGCGGGCCCGCTGGAAGGAGGGAGCGCGGCAGGCGGGAGGAGGGAGGCGGAGGAGGGAGGCCGGGAGGAAGGAGGGAGCGCGGCAGGCAGGCGGAGGGAGGGCTGATTAGCATGCAGCAGCGCTCGCGCGCCCGGCTCCATTGTTTTAACACCTCCCCTCTCCTCCGCGCCAATCTGTCACCGTTCAGCAGGCGAACGCTGCTGCCTCAAATGCTGCTCTTCTCAAATGAGACGGATAATTAGTTGCCCCGCACGAATGCCGCACTCTTCTCACCCCTGATTGCTATCACCTTCTTGCTCCTGGCAGTTTTGACACCTCGTAATCAGCCTGCTGCTTTTCTCTTTTCTTCCCGACTTCTGCTTCCCTCCCCCCTTTCCTTCCCGGTTTATTTATTTATTTATTAGTAGTATTTTAAATGCGAGCCCGGTGCCTATTTGGGCGAGGCCTCGCCGAGTTACCCCCCGCGTGCACACGTGTGCGTGGATATGTGTGTGTACCACGGGGCGAGTGCGCGAGCGGGCGGCGGGCTGGCGGTTCGCGGGGATGCTGCGTGCACCGCGAGAGAGCTCGCGTCTCCTCGAGATATTTTTGGGGAGGGGGGAGTAGGCAGAGGGACGGGAGGGAAGAGTCGGGGAGACCTCAATTAATGCTTTAAAGATCTCTTAGAAATTAACAAACTGGGGAGTCTCGGAATCTGCTGTCAGAAGCGTGTTTCCCCCTCTCTCCTCTAACAAGCACTGACAGTCTAATTACTGGAGCTACAAGCAGCTGTCGAGGCAGCAGCCGGGGAGAGAAGGCGCCACAGGCTGAGCGCACCGGGCCAGCCCGCCGAACCCTGGCCCGACTCCGACAGGATGGACAGAAGGGCGAGGCCCGGCCGCCGAGAGCCCCGGCGAGCCGAAGGCGGGCGGGCCTGGGAGCCGGAGGACACGCTTATTGTTTCATATTTATGAAGTCTTTACCTTGAAGGTTAAAAGATGCGAAGAAGAAAGGAGGGGGTGCGGGGGGAGTGGGAAGCAAGTCTTCTGAGCTCCCGTGCACCCCTTTCCTCTTCGAGCTCTCCCTCCCCCCGTGTTGGTAAAATAACCACGCAACCCGGGGCTGAGGGGGCGGGGTGAGCCAGGCTGGAGTGTAAGAAAGCAGATGTCCCCGCTGGCAGCAGCCTCAGCCTCCGGGGAAAGCTGCACCGGGGGGGCCCTCCCGAGGACATTCACCTCCCACTTCTCAGGCATCCCGCTCACAACTGCCTCGCCTCGGCGGGGGCGCTTTTTTCAGACTCAGCGTTTCGCGTGTGCAGCTTTTTTACCTGAGAGCTGTTCTTACCCGGCCACGCTTAGCAGATGCCAAGAGGCAGCCCCGGCACGACTCAGTAATGAGAGAGGGAGAGACCTGGCGGGTGCCCACTCCACTTTAGAACTGCAGCCAGCGCCGCCTCTTCAGGGTGGGACAGGGGCCTGCTCTCCAGGCCGCCTCTCCTGTGGCCCAGGAGAGTCTCTGTCCCTCAGAGGTTGGAGCTTAGGGTACCGGTTGGAGCTTAGGGTACCGCTAGAACCCAAAAGGAAACAGAGTTCCCAGCTCTCACTTGAAGTGGTGAAGGTGGGGACAGGGTGGACCGGAGAAGGGTCTGCAGTACACTTTAAGTCATTTTCTGGGCTATAGAGTTTGCTTTGGTTGTCAGCATGTCAACTGTGTGAGAGAAACTCTCCCCTTCTAGAAAAGTAGAGGGGAAAAGAACCCCCTTTCTCGAGATAGGTCCAGTTGTATATTCTGGCTGGTAATACCGGGAAATTTTTATTTTTAATTTTGTATGTGTGTGTGGGAGAAGTGAGAGGGGAGGCTGGGTGGGCGGGAGGTGGGGGGAAGGGAAGAGACTTGGATAATTGTCTGGGCAATTCCATTCAGCCCCAGTGGCAATGAAAGATGTACATGTCTCAGAACCTTTCACAGTGAATACCTAATAATCACTATGTCACCTTGGTGAGGAAGATGTCAATGTGATGTGCTTGGCACCCTGAGAAGTTGAGGCTGCACTCTCATTCTTCCACAAGTTAAAGCTGTTCACTGTGGAACAGGGGCCTGCCCAAATTCCCCATCCCAAACCCTGAAGCTTTAAACACTTGCTTCAAGAAGGCTTAAATTCGTTTGAGAGTTGCGAATCAATCTCTACTTCATCAAATGGAAGCCATGCCTCAAACATTTTTAAAATCAGGGGAAAAGAAAAACCCAAAATACAAGACTCACAGGGAAGGAAAACAAAAGGGAAGTCTCATTTTAAACAAATTTTGCAGCCTTCTGAATTTCGTATCTTCTCTCTCAAATGTGTCTCAGTGGCCATCAATCAGGCTGCTAACAATGAATAACAAATTTCTCAACAGGAATATGAACATTTCTAATCTAAATTAATAAATATGGATAGTCCTTACAGGGTTTTAGATTTGCTCCCATTAAAAACAAATGTTTCTGTAGAAAGCTTATTTTGAAAAATAATTTTAAAATTCAAAGTGATCCACTAATTGTAATAAGTGCCATAGGATCTGGTCATTACCCTTCTCTCAGGTTACTGGAAAGAAAACATAAATTTTATAAACTTCCTAAAAATATGATTTCATTTTTTTTTAAAACTCAGGAACAAAGAACACACCAATGATGACAACATACATAACTCTTTTAATATTTAATTCATTTTATCATGTAGCTATACACATAGTAAAAATTAAAGCCATATATATTATTAAAAAAAAATCTAAAGTGTTTAAATAATTCTACCAGTGATTTTGTCATTGGACAACAAATGTCTTAGGTTTGGCATTTACTTAGATGTTTACGTTGTCTGCTATTGCCTATTATTCAAAAATAACATCTATAGCATAAATAATCAATTTTTAAATGAAAACAACAAAAAAATCCTATGAACATTTGATATCACCAAATTCAGCAAATCTCACTAGAAATCCAAGCAATAAGCTTAGATATTTGAAACAAACATAAATTATGATTATACAACTCTGTAAGTCACATACATAATTTAGAATTATGGTAATAACACTATAAAAATGAATACAATGAATTACAGTTCTGTACAGAATGATCTTTAAAAGATAAAAGAAAGTTACAAAATAAGGTTAGAAAAAAATTCAAAAAGCTGTGACGTTAAATTTTTCTATAAATGTTCTTGAATTTAGTTTACAATCAAGTATTTATAGTATTACAAACCCAAAATCATTGCATAGAACTTGATATGTCTATTTTCAAATGTGTCTTAAGTTTCTCCATTAAAGTGTGAATTAAGATGCCGGAGGAAATCCCCCCTGGATGTAATAGATGGTGGGAAAACTGCTTGACAGAATTCACATACTCGAGGTATATGCAGTTCTGAGTCTGTATCATTTGGTACCACTAAGTCACTGTCTTGATTAGGAAAGGGCTTCCAAATGGGCTGTAGGAAACAAACAAAAACATCTTCTGTTACTTGAGTTTAAAATCAACTTGCATTGAATTTCAAATTCACATCTTTTGAATGAGTTATGTATGAGCATATATATGAAATTCCCTAATATGAAAGCAAATTACTTTTCTGTAGAGTTAGCATGAGGACATACCTCACTTCTTTTTTTCATAAAAGGCACAACTAAACTTTTAAAAGTCACTTGGTATACATATTTGTGCATTTTGTCTTTACATGATTGAAAATATTGCAGCTTTAGCACCAGGAATTTTTAATACTTAATTAACACACGGCAGTAGTTTAAAACAACAGTCAATACTTCAGAATTTTTAAAAGTTTAATCTTTTCTATTTTACAATAGAAACCTTAATGTATAGATAGGGCCTTTATTAATATGTGGTACACTAGACAGGATGTGTATGAGAGCATGCATCTTAATTAAAAGCAACTTAAATTTCACTACTATTAATAAGTAAATACACAATGAATACATCATATATGAATCAGCATTATTTTGATTTTTAAAAAGACATTTTTTCTTTTAAACTGCTAAATAAATTCCATTGATCAGTTTTACTTTGTTTTCTGAAAACTCAAATATTTAAATTAATCAACAAAGTCTAATATCACATGCATTCATTTTTTTTCTTTCTTCTTCCTGTAGCAAGTGAGGTAGAAGCATTCTTTTGACTTCTTACTCTGCTCCTGTTAAACAGTTTGGCCTTCTTACTCATTCTTTGTGGCTGAACAAAGTGAAATCTGTCAATAGTTGCGCAGTTAAGAAAAAACATGATTTAACAGAACCACCTCCATTATAACCAGCATATAAACACCCTTAAATAACTGCATTTATCCATTAAAAAAACAAAACAAACAAACAAAAAACTTCTAGAAGGACAAGAAATAGCATTTAGTTTAATAGTAAGTGCTCAATAAATGTCTGTTGACTGAAATGTATCTTATTTTCCTGAATTGTGTAAACCAAATTATTTCCAAATTTTCTTTCTAACCTTGACACAGGTAAACCCTGACATAGCTAAATTCTGATACTTTTATTCTCATAAAATCAATTTAAAGAGACCCTTTTATACTCCTACTACTTTTTAATATTACATTTTAGCCTAGTCTAGCACCTGACAGTGTTAGTTTTCATTCCCTTAACTTCCTTTACTATAGTTAGCCAATCATTTATATAAACAGTATATTACTAATTGAAGCATTTGGGTTGTACGACATCACTGTCTTACAAACATTTTACTGGACAGCTGTGTACAGTTGGTGTAAATATACAAAGTCTGTCTAGGCATTGAGATAAATTCAAATACCAGTACAGAGGGCTTATAATAACACTGATTCAATTCATTTAATGAAAAGTGGCAATTTTATCACAACAAGTAGCAATGTTACGAAATTTGGGGTAAAATAATTTTCTTTAGAAAAATCTTTCTTCCTTGATAACAAAGTAATACTTGTGAGTATATAAACAGAAATCTAGTTAGAGTTAACTAGATTTAAATTTTACTTTTACAGTTAAAACAAAAAAGTATAAATAATTCTAATGGGAAATTGATATGGCTATATATAAAATATTAAAGATAATTCTTATTAAGATCTATAATATAGTAAGAAATTAACTTAGAAGCAATTTATCTTCTAAATTTGGTAAGCCAATCTTCCATTGCCCATTTACCTTTAAGGTCCATATTTATCATTCTCTATTAGGAGCTATTAACTCAGATTTGATCTCTTCGTAGAATTTAGTTGGGACCCCAATCACTGACTCAGCAAAAGAAAGAAAGAAAAGAAAATCATATAGGACAAAAATAAGCTGACATATTTTAGTCTTTGTTAGTATAGCTGAAAGTATAAAAGAGATATTTAGTAGTAACGATTGATATCAAGTAAAAATTTGAAACATGTAACCGAAATTCCACTTCTCTCTGTTACTATTTATGAACAACTCAAGAATTTTGTATTTATCATACTAGCTTTATTAATATAAATAAAATACTAAAATGTTTTTAATAACCCATTTTAAGAAATATTCTTTCAATCCTAAACTGTAGCATGGAGTTCGAAACAAACTAATTTCTTTGCTATTTTCTGCCAAAATATCAATTATCTAACCTATGCCCCATGTCTTATGACAGCTCAACACCAATTCTCTTGCATTTTTTAAGCTGAATACTTTTTCATCAAGTTGTAATCACATACCAGCTGTTTCTCTTGCTGTAGTATAGAAAGCAAATGTACAATGCAGGGTGCCATCTACTGAAACATGAATGCACAGACTAGCTAGTAAAAGAACAAGCAAGAGATATAATGAAGAAAAAAGTAACAAGTATTAGAACTGATGTACTTTACAGCTCCACAGGAATTCTACTTGCAGTAAATGAAATTGTTTAATTTGTTTCACTTAGTAGTAACTATAACTGAGACTATGATGTGAAATAAGGTATAATGTAGAACATAGTGAGTTTATAATTAAAGCTTATTGTCAACAATATCTAGTTTTCCCCACTACTAAAATATACCACAGCTTGACTACTGCTTCTTCTGCATTCTGATTTAAAAATCTATAACCTGTAAAAGTACTTAAAACCAAAGGGTATTAATCGAGTTTTTTGGTTTTTTGTAAATTAATATATAAAGGCAAAGAGAAGTCAAGCAAATGCTTGCAGGTTATATAGACATTTTCATCAATCTGTATTTTCACAAGCTTCTGTTTAACAACTATATATTTTTCATTTGCTTTCGGACATTAAACAACTTTTTTTTTTTTTTTAACTGAAAGAGTCATTGTGATAGAACCTGAATCTCAAAGGGAGGGTAGAAGTGGGTTGGGAGCCTATAAGTAGTCTATGAGCTTTAGAAACATTAAATATGTGATCAAAATCATACAGATTTTGATAGCAGAGACTACTTTAAAAATATATTAGGCTGCATGTTCAGTGCCATATTAGCAACCCAAACCAAAACTAAACCCTACAGATCTACATACGGTATAACTGAGAATGTAATAGAAGTATTAGTTGAAAGACAGTTCACTTATTTTGATAAAGAGGAATATACAGTGCAATTATTTATTATGGAAAATCATGCATTCTTGTAAACATGAGTATGATACACACAGATTTTTTAATTAAGAAATTTGTTTCACAGTATGAAGTTTAAAAAAGAATCCTATAATACAGACGCTGAATAAACATGCTTTTAAGAAGGGATTAAGAAAATGACACCATGCTAGATATGGATAAGGCTTACATGTACTTTAAAATCTGTCATAAATTTTAAGGTACTTTATAGTAGAGCTTTGCCACATTCATCTTTTATAATTTTATGTCATTTATTATAAGACTTGAATATTTTATTGAAAGCTGTAAGTTTGGTTAGTCGGGATGTCGGATAACCTAAAAGAGATGCATATCTGTGCACGTATGGTAAAATGTGTGTTCACACATAATAATATATTTGTTAATGCAAAACAGTTACCTGCTGTGGTCCTCGGATAGCTTTTCCTGGGGAATCGAGTGAGGGAAAAGGTGCATCAGATGGGTCCTGAAGTGGGAATGTATTTACATATAACGCATTATGGTCTCCAGGTGCCAAACACGTAGCTCTATCCAGAGCTGTCCTGCTACAAGTGTTTACAAGATTCGAGGGTTTTGTTTTGTCAGTTGTTTTAAGGTTTTGTATAGCTGATGCTATGGGGTCAATTCTCTGAATTTCAAATAAAGTGTCTTCTGTTTTAACAAAGTTTCCTGGGTTGTCTCTGAGCTCCATATTAAATTTGTCCTGGCATAATAACTCAGATGTGGCAGGACCAAGGATATTGGGTCTCTCTGGAGTGCTATGTAAGAAAGGAGAGTCACTGTCCGTAGGTGGAAACTTGACGTTGAATTTAGAAAGTGATTCAAAAGAGGTATCTTCCTCGTCTTGGCCCAGTCCTCTTGGTGTGACAGATGTGATGCATGGTGTACCTCTATTTATATCATCTTTAGCCTGAGGCTTAAACAGCGCTTCTTGTTTATCTGTTTTATCCGTACATTGTATAGGCACAGAGCACTGTGTTTCTGCAGGTAAAAGAACACAAAAGGGAAGTAGTCACATTCAAATCATTCTTAAAAATCTGTTCAATCAGCTTTGAACAGATGAGTATTATTTTTTTCTATTGATTTTTATAGCAACTGAAGACAACTTGGCATTTTTACACTTGCTACCATCTTACACAGGAATATTAGCAGCCTCCAGTGGGTGAACTGGAATCTAGCTTATAGGTCTTTTGCTGTAAGCTTTGCATCTTGTTCACGGTTATACTGCTCCACATTTTTTTTAAAAAAATTGCTTGTAGTGTATACATATACGTTACTTTATCAGTAACGGAAGCTGCAACTGTGAGCTTGCTTAGACAAATAAGTTGTTAAAAGAGAAAATCCTTACTAGGTATATATATAAATTGGGCCATTTAGTATTTACTACATCAATCAGTTAATTTATTCCCCCCACAGTAACTTAATTACTGTGTAGCTAAGTATATCACTAATCAATTTAGCCATTGTCTACTGTCAATAATCCATGTGAGGGAATGGTGGTGGTAAGGGTTGGAAAGAAGGAAGGTAGTGGAGGCAAAATAAGGAAGAAATTTTGGGGTGCACATTAAGAAAACTGCATGTAAATATATGGTTTTCACATCTTATGTCAAAAGAAAAAGATATCAGTAGATAACAGGTAGAAATCAGGTAGATACCAGGGCCTCAGTATCTAGAAGCCTCATTTGTCTAGAAGCCACTTATCAAACACATTCAGCTTTCTAGGACATGGTCAAAAGCTAGAAAGTAAGTAAGCAGAGGTTCTGAGGAGTCAGAATTAGAGCCACAAGTTCCACAGATACATGAATTTTGCTCCTATTGTTATTTTAGATTTATTCTAAAAAGCTTGATGAAGTATCCCCTAGCTTATAGCTGGTTTGAAACATCAAATTAAAATGGGATATGAGTTATTAAAGCAAACATGTTATCAACAATAGCTGAAAGCATGGGAAGAGACAAGAAAAACATAAAAGCAAATGTAAGAATTAAGAAAACACTACAGTCTAAGTGCAGGGCCAACAAAGGCTGTCCAAGTACTTCTCAATACAAAAAAACAATGATCAAAGTCCTCTCCATGTTGATGATCCTGAGACATTAAAAAAAGCTAAATTATGCTCCACAATGTCACTTCAAACAGGCAATGAAAGTGGTAATGTATGTATTTTTATTCCATGCATTAGTGGTAAAAAATTTTTACGTTAGCATTCAAATAAGACTTGTCAGTAAAGTTGTACATTCACAAATGGAGATTTACCAACAATGCAGGATTAAGTAGACAGGTATACAAAGCACCTTGCACAGTGTCTGATCAGGTTAACAGGCACTTAGCAAATATCAGTTCTTTTATATTTTTTTGGTCTTTGCAGTTTCATGATGCTTCTCTACCTTTTGCCACAGCACATTCCAACACAAGATATTTTTTGTTTGGATATAATGTGTACTACAATTCAATCAACTTCTTTGGTTCATCTTGTTATATACCTCCTGTCTCTCTTTAGTCCACACTATCCTCTCATTAAATTATCACAACAGTCTCTGAACTGCTTCCTTGCCTCTAAATCTGTCTCATAACCAATCAGTTGTCTACATTACAATTTCCCCACCATCCCTTCTCAGACTAGTTTTTCTAAAATATAAATCTAGTTATGTTACCTTCCTAATAAAACCTGCCCATGGCTTTCCAAGGCCTCAGCCCTCAGAAAAGGCCCCCAGTCATTTCTTCATGCCCATCTTTCATCACACTTGTTTCACTCCACACTACAGCTATAATGAACTTTGTACTGTTCTCCAAAATAGCCATGCTCTTTCAAATCTGGACCTTTGCACATGCTGTGCAGATTGCCTGAAGTCCCTTTCCTTTACTCTTTGCTTAACTCTTATTTGTCCTTCATATTTTGGCTTAGGCATCAGTTTCTCTGGACGGCTCTCCAATAACTCTTGAATGCCCAGAGGACTGAACACCCTGTGTTATATTTCTCCAGCTAAGTAGGTTTTTGAGGTCCTAAACTATGTATTGTCACCCACTTAACTCAGTGCCCTGCCGAGTGCCTGGCACACAGTATGCCCTCAATAAATGAATTCTGAATGAATCTGTATTCTCTTCCCTACAAAGCCTAGGATAATAATCTACATTTACTAGATACTTTGTGACTAAAGTGGCATAGTAATCGAGACTAAGCTCAATTGTTTAGCTGCATTTCTTTGACCTCTGAGGTTTATAAAGTCCAATAACGCTCAAGTAATCATTTTTCCTGGCAGTAGACTTGAGAGAGGCAGGAAATTCTAGAAAACAGTACTGTCTTTGTAGATAACATTTGCTAATTGCAAATAACAAACAAATCAGGAAAACCAACTGTTGAGGTAATCAAGTTCTGTAACACCTGAAAAGGAAGAAAAACTTAAATAACATTCACAAGGAAAACAGGGTGAATGCTAAAGAAGCTGCTACTGCTGTAAATGGCAACAACTGCTAGTATTAATAGCACTTCCAGGCTAACTGGTTAGCTCAGCTGGTTATATAGCACAACCTTATAACACCAAAGTCACGGGTTCAGATCCCCGCACTGGCCAGCCACGGTGTTGGTGGTGGTGGTGGGGGGGAGGGAGCACTTCCATGTGCCACACACTGTTATAATCACTGTATGTATGTGCATTAATTCATTTAATACTCAAAATAATCCCAAGATAGGCACTATTATTATCCCCACATTACATGTGAAGAAACTGGGACATAGAGAGGTTAATTCCAAGGCTACCCAGCTAGTGAGTGGTAGATCTGGCACTGGAATCCCAGCAGTCTAACTCTAGAGTCTATGCTCTGAACCATTATGCTACATAGAACATGTTGGTTTCTATATATAAAGAAGAGTCCCCAAATTGACAGAAATGTGCTTTGAATTACTTTTCTAGCAGTTGACCTATCCCCCTTGTGAACAAAACATGGGGAAATCAAGCAGCTGTAATAAAGCAGACATTTTCTTTGAGCACAGCTAACTGGCATACAACCTTAGCTGCATTAAAATAATCTGAGTTAATATGCTTAAGCAGTGACAGTTAATATCTATAAAGAAAAGATTCAAACATAAGATTCCTAAGGCTACTAGAAATTCAAGCTTAGAAAACTTAAAATTCAAACAAGGTGTATGAAAGCATTTGTCATTCTGACACCATACTGAGAAACACAATCAGGTGAGCAAATAGCTTCTCTGTGTTGTTCATTTCAAAAATACTTATTTTTGCAAGAAAGAAAAGTAAAATGAGAAATATTTTTAGATTTCCAAATTTTAAGTACAGGCTATCTGTTCAGACTACTTCTCAGTCTAATTACCTTGTATACTGACAAAAGAAAAAGACCTGATGGTTATTTGTAATACCTAATCTTACAAGGGCACTTCAAAAAGTTCATGGAAAAGTAGAATTGCATAATAATATGAACCTTTTGATGAACTTTTTGAAGTACCCTCATACATTCTTCTCTTCTAACCTCCATTGAAATAGGACCCTACTTTACGGATCAAATAGTACTTTTTTTGGAAGACATATTTGCTTAAACATATATTTTATTACCCTCATACATTCTTCTCTTCTAACCTCCATTGAAATAGGACCCTACTTTACGGATCAAACAGTACTTTTTTTTGAAGACATATTTGCTTAAACATATATTTTATCTTTATCCTTTCTCAAGGCTATTGCCATATGTGGATGAATAGAAAAAACAAAGTAATAAAAAGGAAATGTACAATTCTACTAATTCAGCATTTTTTCATAAATTATATCTGATTATTTAAAAGCAAAAATCAAATTTCAATGAAAAAACAGCATAGGGACAATAATGTTAAATATACTTTTTCCAGATATGTTATGCAAATCATATTTAAAATACTTCCTCTATATTTTTATTACGTGTAGACTATATAGTTGAAAACCCTCAATAGGAATCTTTTTCCAAAATATTTTTTTCTTTCTTTCTCCTTTTGATCTACTACTGTCAGAGCATAATATTTGATATTTTGGTTCCTGTTTGGACCCAGAAAAACTTTACTGGAGTCTGCAGTACAACAGATCTAAAACATTTCAATAATAATGTTGTATTTATTATTTGTGACATAGTTAATACAAAGCATAGCAAAAATGTTAGGAAGCAGTTTTACTGAGGAAGAAACTGAAGTTAAACACTCAGTGTTCTAGTTGACAGATACACACTCAGATTTAGACCTGTGCAATTTAAAAATGGTCAAAGTATTAAGCCATTGATAATGGGGTAAGTTCTCTGTGTAGCAAAGAATATATCACCATTACAATGTTTTGATAAGATGTTGATGTTCAAAAAAGCATGTTTATGAATTCTAGGTACTACATCTCTATAGCTAGCATATTTTAAATAAAAACAATTCATTTACTTCAGATGTATCTAGTATCTTCAGTCTGCACAAAAGATCAATTTCCATGAAAATGACAAAAATTAAGGTGAAGAAATTAAGAGTTATTTGGGGGATGAGGGGGAAGGGAGGGGAAGAAATAAATTATGTGTTACAAAAATTGTTTTGTTTTCCAATACCACATTGCATAACTTTTCTGAAAATAAAATAGAAGTAGTATCAAAAAAGTGAATTTACACTATAAAATGATTTTTAAACAGCCTAGATGTAAGAGCTGTAAGAAATGGTAAGTGATCTTTAATTAAAGGGGTGCTAGTCAGCACTGTTGCAACATCTCTGAGAGTGAAAACTGTAAATCACATCTCTTGGGAACTGTCCATGGAATATCTTAAATCACAAGAGTAAGGAGAATTTATCATTATAAATGATCAGTTTACCTTCCTTTTGTTTACAGAAGTGCTTGGTTGCCAGACTCAATTCCTAGTATTTTGCTATTTATTCTGAACTACTGAAGCAAACACCAGGAAGCCAGTCTGGGGTTTTAGGGAAGGGTGGAGCTTTTAAAAAACATACTGTAACATATGAATAAAACAGATGTTCCTTTTAAGTTATATTTTATACTAAATTTGTATTTTGTGCCTCCAAAAGAACTGACACTCAGGAAATGTGAGTGCCACATTTTTATTCTCGAACAAATTATAAGAATCTATCCATAGTGTTCAATGAACCTTTAGGCAGAAGTTAAAAACAAACATGTTATAATTTTACTTAGCTCATATATGGTAGTGTGGCTTCAAGGACGCTTACTAACATATGAGTTAATTTTTAATAAGACCCTCAAATAACAAATGAAAACTTTGATATATCCTATATTTATTTTCTATTTTCTCAATTCAACAAATGAATTTACTTTAAGGTACTAAAACTTAAAATAATTCTCATTAAGATGATTAGTAATTATGTCATTCAATTCAATCTATATAGTATCACATACAATGAAGACAGAAAGAAAAAAAACCAATAATTACTTAATACTCATAAAATACATTATAGAACTCAAACAGCCCTTACCCTGTTGAAACGTAGTGGGTGATGAACAAGTTGCAGATCGTTAGCACTTAATAAGCATTTAAAAATATTTTCACATTCAAAAAGAAATCAATTTTGACCAATAAAATTAATATTACTGGCAAGTTAAATCAAACCTTACCAGTTGCAGTGTCCAGTATATTAAGTTTGCTTAAGTGGTCTTTTTGTGCTTTTGCTAGAATACATATTCTATGGAATTCTTCTTTCAGATCCCAGAAAGTCTTCTCTATATTTCCCCTAAAAACAAATCAATATTTTAACATGTAAGGCTATAACTTCAAATATTTTTATCATAATTAAACTTACATAGCACCATTTTAGGTACCACAAAAAAATTACTGAAAAGTTAAAAGTAAAAAAAAAAAACCAATTATTTAAAATTCTTAGAAAATGTCCTGAAAAACATCTTTAGTGTTTGGAGAGCCAGGCACAAAGTGAGTGATAAAAGTTCCAACACATAAATGTAGTGCAAACTAGCATATCTATTCATTCATATATCACATTGTTGCTGGCTGTCTTAGAAATTTTAATGCATTGACTTTTGTTCTCTTACTCATCTTAAATAGAATACTAAATATTCCTCATTTTGGTAAGACTGACATTAGGATCCATCCATATAAAATGATATGGCCATAATGCTTGGTCTATTGAAACAGTAGAGCTTTAGAGAATTCAGTTTTTAGATCTAGTTCTGTTATTAACTATATGTCTTATTTAGGTTGTTTTAACACACAGAAGCCTTGCATTGGTCTCTTCTAGCTCTAAAAGGTTGCTATTTTCTTACAATTGTTAAAATGTTAAAATATATAAATATAAAATATATTTCAATATTCATTTTTAAAAGTTGGCAACAAGGGGCCGGCCCCGTGGCGCACTGGAGAGTGCGCCGCTTGGGAGCGCAGCGGTGCTCCTGCTGAGGGTTCGGATCCCATGTGGAGACCGGTTCCCGCTCACTGGCTGAGCGCGTTACGGGCGCAACACCAAGGGTTGCGATCCCGTTGCCGGTCCCCGGTACGGGCGTGACACCGAGGGTTGCGATCCCGTTACCAGTCAGTAAAAAAAGACAAAAAGGAAAAAAAAAAAAAAGTTGGCAAAAAACAATGTAAGAACTACCTTTCATGGAATAAAGGAATGCCAAGACTCCTTGGTGAAGTTTCTTTTCTAGAAGAAGAAAGCTCTTGTCTTCTTACCTTAAAGATACAAAATGATTAACATTTTAAATTGCTTCCAACTCAAATGAGATTGGGTTAGCAGAAAACACAATGTAAAATTTATTTATCTTATTTACTGAAAATAAGTTGAAGCAGCTTACAGATATATATATATATATATATATATATATATATAATGTACAATAGATTTTTGTTCTTTAAAAGACAATAATAAAGGAAAAAGGAAAAGGAAAATAGGAAGTGTGAAGACATGAAATATTTCTGGTAACTTCTTCAATTACTATTTCCATTACAGGAAATTCAAGGAATTTCTCAAATTCAAACATTAATCAAAATTGCTACTCTGATCATCAAGCACCTCATATGACCATAATCTTTAGGACAAAAAATGTATGTGTGTTTTTACTTCCCTTGATAGTCACTAATAACTGCCTATATATTTAAATCAATGTCTTTGTTTTCTGTTATACATTCTTTGCTGAGGGATGTGGCTGTATTAGAGGGAGAAAGAAACCAAGCTACAACTTCCTATCATTTAACTAGCACTTTAAAGGTTTATAAAAATAGTACAATTATGTATTTAAGCTACTTCAACACAAGTCCTTGCCTTTCACTCCCACCCTGTGGCTTACACTGGTATTACATTTATTCTGATATTTTAAAAATAAAAATTAAAGAGTATGTTGTAATAATTTATTTTATAGTTTAGATTTTTAAAACATATTTAATCATAATTAGAAAGCTTTGTGGAATTTCTGAAGCTATAAACTAACAAATTCAGAGATCAGAGATTTGAAGAAGTCTTAATATTATATAATCATAAATTATAATTCAGCCAAAACTGTATAATTCTTATTTAAGTTCAAATACAAACTAGTGGACTTTTATCTTTAGTGACTTTTAGATCTTATTCGATTAAGGTCATTGTAGCTATTATTAAAATGGAAGATTTTACTTCATTGTTTCTTATCAGCTGAGTATGTTTCTCTTTAATCTTGCTTTTCAAAAAATTTCATTCAATTCTTGAGTCTTGTTTTTTAAGACAAAAACTTGATTTCAGTTTGTTTTTCTTAAAATTTATATCTTCTCCAATTTGTTTTAATTTATTGCTCTAATTTCCCAGCTTGTTCTAAGTAAATACTCCAAATATACAGAATATTATTTCACAGGAGCTGGAAATTAATAAAATAAAATCTTGTCAATTCTAATAATTTGTGAATTTACATATTATATCATCAGATTGAGGTAAAATATAGGTCATTTTGTTGCTACATAATGTTTGTCTGACATTTAGGCCATGTCTTATTCTGGATTAAAACTACTTTATAGAGTTTTATAAAAGCAGTCACATCAGAGGACATTTTCACATTTGCAATTTGTTTTTAAAAGTGGCAGACAATGTTTTTCTTTGGTGTTATTTACAATTAGAACATTCAATGGATTTTAGTCTGGACTAGGAAGAAAGGCAACATTTTAAAGCCAGCCAACCATTCAGGACACTACAAGGATGAAAACAAACTTTTAGAAGATTCTATTATTTAAATTTATATCACGAGATCAGAGAAGAGTTATATTAAGAGAATAAAAACATTTGACAATTTAATGTGTTAAATCATAATAAAATAAGCAATTATATTAAATAGAATGACCTCCTTTTAAAAATTACTACTAGAAATTCTCAATATGAAAAAAAATTATTTTATTAAGAGATAGAAAGGACCCAAAAAAGTACTCTGTAATTTTAGCCTAAAAATGAAGATAGTTACATTAAGTGGTACAGATGATATCCAGGTTTCCAAAGTTTTGATTTTAACATAAACTAGGAATGATTGCTTCTGAGTTTAAAGAAGCATTAAAAATTGATAGGGTTGGGAAGGGGTGAAGGAAAAGGCAGGAATAGTAAGTTTTTGTCTGGCTTGGTAAATAATTGGTGCAAACTTACTTCTGTGATATTTAGATCTGATAACTAGTGTGGGTAAATTTATCAGGAAAATCTTCCAGGGTGCATTGGCGGGGGGTAAAGAGAGGACTCACTTATTAAGAAATTTCTACTCTATGAATGTCTTCAGCTTCTTTGGGGTTAGGAACACAGCTTTGCCTACTATTATTTTTGTCCTCATTATTGAAGAAAAGTATTACTGGTTGTGTTAAGTAATACACCATCCCTTCTATCATTCACAACCAAATAAATCTGTTCATATACTTCAGTTGAAAACTTCAAGTCCCAAGCATTCAAGAAAAAATTTTCAAAAAGGGACCTCTTAGTATGTTAGTTTAAGGAAAAAAAGGGCAAACAGTTTTCTGGCAGATGTTTTTTTTTTTTTTCCTTTTTGTCTTTTTTTCGTGACCGGCAACGGATCGCAACCCTTAGTGTCACGCCCGTACCAGACCGGGACCGGCAACGGGATCGCAACCCTTGGTGTTGATCCCGCACCTCGCTCAGCCAGTGAGCAGCCGGTCTGTACGTGGGATCCGAACCCTCGGCGGGAGCGCCACCACACTCCCAAGCGGTGCACTGTAGCAGTGCGCCACTGGGCCGGCCCTGGCAGATGTTTTGAAGAAGTTTATTTAGAATGGGTACAGCATGTTAATGCTATTTGCCATTGTAGCGACCTGACACAACTTTCTGAAAACAATTACTTATTTTTCAAAGGATTTAGGATTAGTATAGTCAATGGCATCTTCAACACTTTTCCCAGAAAATCAGACGGGAGCGCCACCACACTCCCAAGCGGTGCACTGTAGCAGTGCGCCACCGGGCCGGCCCTGGCAGATGTTTTGAAGAAGTTTATTTAGAATGGGTACAGCATGTTAATGCTATTTGCCATTGTAGCGACCTGACACAACTTTTCTGAAAACAATTACTTATTTTTCAAAGGATTTAGGATTAGTATAGTCAATGGCATCTTCAACACTTTTCCCAGAAAATCAGGAGTCCTCAGTTATTCTATCAAACATTAACTTAGGTGTTGCTGTGAAGGTATTTCATAGGTGTAGTTAAAGTCCACAAGCAATTGACTTTAAGTAAGGGAGATTATCCCAGAAAATCTGGGGAGCAGGTGGTGGGTGGCTGGTTTTAAGTTGAAAAGCCTTGAGAGCAGAGCTGAGGCTTCCCTGAAGAAGCCAATACTGCAACTGTGGATAGTAGCTTAAGACTTCCAATCTGCCCTTCCTGATGGCTTTCACTTTGGCTTTTCCTTTGCATAAGCCAATTTCTTGCAATAATTCCCTTAATATAATTAACTACTGGTTCTCTTTATCTCCTTGAACTCTGACTGATAGCAATTCTGTCTATCATCATTGTTCTCCATTAGTAAGAATGCTCAATCTCATCAAGTCAGTTTTCTTACTTACCCTAACTCCAAGCAAGTTAATGTCACTCTAGATTCCTGATTCTCCCTCACCTTCTCTGGCTCTGCAGATCCCATTTATGCTAGAGGGTTTAGCACAACTCCTGAATTACCCAGCACACTCTCCCTCCATGTCTTATCTCTTCCCCCTTGTTCAGTGCCTATATGTTGGGCATTCCCTATGTTAAATTTAGCCTTGGACCATGTACAATCTTGTATTATTTTCTAAGTATATAATACAACCCTTCTTCATTTCTTCTAATTCTAATGTCCTTGAGAACAGGAATCAGATCTCCAACTGCCCAAGTGCTACCTACCATGCTTGGTTCATTGTGGGACCCAGAGTAGATACTTATTTATGCATGTCTGATATAAATATGTCACATGAGTGACCTGAAAACAGGAGAGATTTACAAGAATTCGTAATAACTTCGTATAGCATACATTATACGAAGTTATACGAGGATGACCGGTGCGCTCACCGGCTGAGCGCGGTGCGGCCGGTCTCAAAAAGGAAAAAAAAAAAAAAAAGAAAGCAAGGAAATTTTGAACATTATATTTTAGCAGATTTTAAGCATTAAATCATTCAACAAATGAATTTACTTTAAGGTACTAAAACTTAAAATACTTAACATCACAAATTGTTCCAAGTTTGGAAATGCTGAACTTGTGGAATGAATGCTGAAATAAGAGTTTTACACATCATACTTTGCATACGCTCTTCCAGTACGGCACTGGGTAAGTCATTCAACTAAATCCATTAAGATAAACCCACCGGAAACAGTTGGAAGATATTGTGAAATGTTTCCTGAAATTTTCTCTTAAATGAATTGGGAGAATTTTGATTTAGTGTAAATCAGTTTAAGCTCTTATAGATGGGTATTACATAAAGAAAATATGTTCAAGGGCAAATTGAATATGCAATGATATTTAAGGAGGAGAAAAAGAAAATAGTGGGGAATATTTCATCAGTCAAAAACCAGGTTTATTCTTAATGCAAAGATAACGAAAAATGTTCTTCAGTGCTGCATTCCAGGATCTGTTAGATATCAGCCTCTCAAAGGAAGAAATGGACATTTTATCCAATATCTCCTTTGTTATAGCTGGTAGTAAAAGTGAAAGGATTTTACTACTCTTACAAAATAATTTGAAAAATAAAAAAAATGTAAAACTTTCATTCAAATCATTTTTTCTTAAAAATTTTAAGCAATTAAAGCTAGTAAATTAAACTGAATTGTGGAACTCTTAAAGATGATGCTGACTAAACTCACTAATAAAATACATATTCTCATATGTAAGGAATTGTAAACTTCTCCTCTATTAATTACCTAAGTTATTGTTTATCAAAAATTAGCCACATTCCATTTAAATCTGGCAAATTTCCCACTCCTTACGTATGTGCCCACAAGGGGTATGTGTATGAATATGTTCGTGGTCTCATTTATGCTCCTATAAAAAGGCTACTATTAAATAGAGGACGTAAGTTTTCAATGATACATATCTGAACTATAGCAATGTCTATCACTTTATTCCAGTGTTTACATCAAATACTTCCTCTAAACTTTAAATGGGATACTTGCATGCAAAAAGAATATTAATTTTAGGTGACTCATGCAACTGAGAATAGTCAATAATTTATTTAGTTTCTGGATGAGGCTTAATAGAATT